ATATATATATATATATATATATATATATTAGGCCTAATGTATTTTGATGGATGGCTAAGAATGACAGATCATTAAAAGCAATTACATGGGTACATTTGGTCAAAGACTGTTGTGTAATGTTTTTATTTTGTTATAAATAAAAAAAAATATTTAGGTTTTATTTGTCCTTGATTTAAAATGTCACAAATTTGTTGCTACACTTGGGTTTCTTGTTTATTTGGGTTAGCAATTAATCAGACCTTCCAGAGCCTTCATATTGTTTTTCAAACCAAACAGCTGTATTAAGAAACTCTTTTTCTAACTCCTCCCGTCTTTTTTTGTCTGACAAAAAAGGGGACCAGCATTTGGATTCAGAGAACTTTGTTTCTTTTGTGCTTTGAAATTGGACTTCTCACTGAAGAAAATCACATAACTTGAAGAATCTCCTCAGCTCACTGTCTTTGTTGAGTGCAGCACCGAGTGAAGGAATATGAGACAATATATTCTGAGAGACTTTAATTAAAACATTCAGTGTGAAACCCCTTTGACTTATACCATAAAAGTAACTTTTAATCTCATATTTTAGTAATGCATATTTCATTTTTGTCTTTTTAAGCCTGCTGTTGTTGAGTTATTACAGTTTTTAAAAACTTAAGAGATACTTGTGATTCTGAGGTTTCTGCATTATATTTGCAGGTATAGTTTCTAAAAAAGCACACTGTCTGCTAAAATAAGTGGTGCCAGGAGCTTGTTGATTTTGCCTTTTAAGGTAAACACATTTCATTGTAATGTTGAGCCTTTGTTAAATTACATCCATTCATCTGCTTATCTTTATCAGGGTCCCAGTGGTGCTGGAACCTATCCCAGCTATCACAGGGTGAGAGGTGGGGTAGGACAGGTAGATACCCTGGACTGGTCGCCAGTATGTTGCAGGGCTAACACAGAGAGACAAACAACCATTCATACCTATGGGCAATTTAGAATTACCAATTAACCCAACCTCTGTTAAATTACATATGACAAATAAAATTGAAATAAAACTGAAACTGAAATAGAGATGTAAACAAACTCTCCTGGTATTTCTTTTCTCATTTTGCAGTGTAGGATACAGTCAAAAGGTTTCAACACTGCTAATATGATGGTCTCAACCGTTAAACACTCTTTGTTCTCTCAAAGGTCAACACTGTCAAATCAAGCTTGCAGTTGGTCAGTAGCACATTCATGTAATAAAGTTTACCAGAGTCCAAGCTTTCATTTACCTTTGGGACTAAGCCTGCTGACTGGGTTGATTCCACTTAAACAAATGTATTTTTTGGTATTGATGTAGTTCAAAGAGCTTCAAATCTTATCATAGAAGAAAAATAACATTGTCTTCACTACTCATACTGGAAAGTTATACCCATGTTTTGTATAATGTTTATGTGTCAAATATTAGCGTTCATTTCGTTGGCTTTCTCGACAAATTTCATTAAGGAGAGTAAATCTAGCTATAAAACATCAGATAGATTAACACAAAGGGGATTCCAGAGTGAATTAAGTTTTGTAGAAGGATTTTGTAGAAATTTACTGGTTCACTACTTAAAGACTAGTAGACTCTTCTTTATATAAATGCATAAAGTCTATGTCTTTCCATCAAGGTGAACAGGTCAGACAAAGCAGTATATTTTGTAACACCAACATTGGCTCATATTTTGACTTACTCAGTCCAGTTACAACTGTCTGCTTGTATTTTCTTCATGAACGTGGCTGCTCAAAGAGCAGGGGATGTGCTCCTTCTCTGCATCTGTTTTTCATCCTCTCTGGCTGTCGGTATCATTCACCATCTCCGTCTGCTGATCTGCTTCTTCTTTCTTCCCCACTCACTCTCATTTTAACGGCTCCTCTTTTTGCCCTTGAATGAAAGAAAACAAACAAAAAAACCCCCAGAAACAAACAGCACAATACAATAAACAACCTTGCTCTTCCTGTCTTCGCATGCCTCTTCTCCTTGTCTCAGCTGAAATGTTTTCACAGATAACCGTGCTCGTGTGTATATGTGTGTTCAGGATTGCCCTTTGGCTTTTAAGACTTTGCAACTTCACTGATGTCAACAAAACAAACAGCTTAATGCTTCGCGTTCATAAAGTCTCCCTGGCACCTTTGCAGCAGCAGTACAGAGTAAACAAGAGTAGCAATACAAACTGGGAGACACTTACTGTACATGAGCTGTGCTTTGATGGGGTGAGAGTTAGGAGACGGGTTGCCAATCTATTCGAGGGCCAAAACAGAATGAGAGACAATCCTCACACTCATGCTTATGACTAATTTAGAATAGTTAATTATTTACTTAATTAATTAAGTATGTCTTTGGACTGTGGAAAGAAGGAAGCACATGGAGAGAACATGCAAACTCCACACTGGGAGGTGATAGTGCTAACCCCTCCATATTCTTTAGAAATGTTTACCTTTCCCAATTATAGAAATCATTTTTGCTGTAACCTTGTTTCATAGCAAACTGGGACAGAACAACGTAACCACTTTTTAAAATAGTTTGATCTTTTATCATCTGTGGACTATCAAAACCCTAATCTTTGCTTACTACTGTACACTGTGTAATTAACCACATCAATCTTTCCTTGTGCTGCAAAGCCAATTCTGCTCATATCCCTTTTCCAGCACACTATAGACTTTCTTGTTAAATGAGAATTGCAAAATCTCCCCTTCAGCATTGCATCACTTCAAAGAGTTCTAGATTTGATAGCTTATCAGACAGCTGCTCTGTTTGAATGGAAGAACAGGTCAACAGAGTTTATGGTGATGTCCAGCGTAGGGTGCATCTAACAAACTATCCCTGTGTTGAAACACCAAATTAGAGGTGATTCTAGGATCAAAGCTTCAGGTGGGCTAAGCACCCAGTCACAATGTCATGCATACAGTGCTTTGTAATTAATATTAATAGAATAAGGTATTTGCAAACAAACTGAATCATTTTTACTGTTACATATCTAAAATTAACTGGGCACATATTACTGTTACCTTTAAAAGGAATCTAATTGGTTGGATGATCTTTTCTAATGTTGACGAAATGATTCTGAATGAATAATCATAGTTATGGTAAATGTATTTGTATAGCACTTTACTTGGTCCTAAGGACCCCAAAGCGCTTTACACTAT